ATTGTCTGCTGAGGCCGAGGGGGAGGGGACGGCCGTAGCCTGAGGCCAGACACCAGGAGGCCGGGGCTGGGGGAAGGGGCCGCCCTGCCCCGTCCTCTTCCCCTCCCCCACCGGGGCGGCCAGACACCTGTGACTCCGGGCCGCCTGGCGGCCGGCGCTCGACTGTTCGATGCGCTTCGCACACAAGCGGGGTACCCTCGAGGTCCCGGCGGTGGGGACAGGCGGACCGCGCGCTCCGCGGGACCAGCCGAGGCGCCGCCGGCCGCGAGGCCCGACATTAAAGGTGTGTGCGCACGCGCGGTGTGTGCTCGCCGCCGGGAGGGCGGTGCCGCCCCACCCCCCTCCTTTCCGGGGGAGCTGGGCCCGGCCCCTCCGGAGTGAGGGAGGGGTCATCTGCGTAAGAAAGGGGTCGGCGGGGGGCCGGTAGGTAGGACTTACCATCCTCTCTAGACTCCATTCCCCATCTTCCTTCTCAGGGAGGCACCTGGAGGGGCGCAACCACACCGTGTACTTGGGGGCACGCCCAGTGTGTGTTGTGTGACTGAGGGGCAAGTTTTGCATTGCATGAGGGCGTGCAGTGTGTATGCACGCAGATGAGTGTGTGCCTGTGCAGACCTGAGTGAGTGGGTGTGCATGTATCTGCGTATGTGAGACCTGGGACATCGAGTGCGTGTGTACACATGTGAGCAGTAGCGTGTTGCTGTGTGTAAGCCCAGAGGGGGGCCGATTCTTGGCTCGGAGCACCCTCTGTTCCTGGGGTCTGAGCCTGCGTGGCCTGGTCAGGGCTGAATGATTTTGAGTCTGAAGATCCCAAAATAGCCCGGGTAGCCTGAGCTCCCCTCCCCCAGCTGGCTCTGAGGCCTCAATGGCCCTTTGTCTCTCTGAAGGCATCCAAGCCCTGTGGGGGCTCAGGCTCGGGCTGGGGCTGGGAGGGACCGGGCTGCATGCGGGTCCCCTTTCCCCAGGCCAGACCTGACAGGCCTTGCGCACCGCCACCACCACCACGTGAGCCCTAAGGCCAGCCCATTTGCCGGCAGAGTCCAGGGTCTCTGCCTGGGGGAGGCCTGCCCCTCCCACACTCTGGTCCCCTTGCCTCCCCTCCTCCAGCAGGGCCCACCCATGATGTCCCAAGCTGCAGTGGCAGCAGCAGACAGGGCTCCTGTGCGGGTGTGTGCTCAGTGCGTACGTCTGTGGTTTAAACCCTGGCACTGTCTGTGGGCCCCTCCCTGAGTTGAGGGATTCAAACTGCAGTCCTGGGGGCTGCAGTGAGAGGTAAATGGGAAATGTGTCACTGCCCGGGCTCACCACACCAAGTTCTGGGCTGTGGGCCAAGCTCTGCCCGGAGGAGATAAAAAGTCAGACCCTGCCCTGGGTGCTCCAAGTCCGGGGCATTGCCACTCTCAGTGTGGTGTGGGCAGTGCCAGAGTGTGGTGAGGTGAGGTGAGGGGGTGGGAGGCTCCCCTGAGGAGACAGTGAGGCCAGCCAGGGGCAGGGTCTCCAGGTGGGCTGACAGATTGCTACTCTGGGTCCATCGCGGCCCGGGGTCGGGGGCGGGGGGCACTTTGTGTACTGACTTTTCCTGCAAGGTTTCAGTAGACCCTCACGTTCCAGGGCTCCAAGAGGTTTGAAGACCTCTGCTGTGGGTGATTGGGGACCCGGACAGGGTGGGCTGACCCTGTTGGGATTTGGTACTAGTGTGTCTGGGCGCAGGACTGAAAGGAGTCCAAGGAGATGGCCCTGAAGAACTGGGTGCTGGCTGGCAGGTGGTTGACGAGCAGGGAGGGAGCGAGGTGTGTGTGGGAGGACCCCAGGGACTCGTTTGTGAGGCAGCTGCACACGTGATGGGGAGGACGGCAGTCCCAGGTGGGCCGCGCGCCCTGGCCCTCTGTGACGTCAGGGTCTCGACGTTCCCGGAAGGCCTCTGGGGGGCGCTCCAGGCTTGCGGTCTGGACCTGAAGCCCCGCGACTATTTGCATAACGCTCATTTACATGGGACTCATTTGCATGATCCTGTCACCTCGCGGACGCGAGTGGGGGGTGTGCGGATGGTTTGAGATACTGCTGTCAGGTCCTAGGGAGGGGTGGCGCACCCTCTGAATTGAACCCAGCCTACTCCCCACCTGTGTGTATGTACCTGGAGACGCTACCCCCACAGTGCCTGGGTCGCGCCAGCGGGAGCAGAGACATTGACACGCACACGCGGTAACACGCAGACCGCAGCCCAGAAACCGGGTCCTTCGTGCAGGCCGATCCCCCCTGCGGAGACACAGACAGACCCTCGGACACTCCGCCGCGCCGCCGCCCACC